AATAAATTATGCTTCTTTTTTTCTTTTTTTTGTAAATTATTTAGACTTATTATTTCTTTAATTATTTTCGTTACCTTATTATATTAGTTAAATTGAATAAATATCAAATGTAGCACATACATTCAAATACATGAAAAATCTTTAATAACTTAATTTAGAAAAGTTACTTAACACACAATGAAAAGATACAACAATTGAAATATTGAATAATGTATAGGACATCTATACATTATATTATTCGTATGTGGAATGATGAAAAAGAGACAAAATAATCAAAATACATAAAGAAGTGAATTAATAAATAATTCCATAATCAGAAAACAGAATAAAGAAATGGAAATATAATTTTACAATACCTACTTCATTCAATAACATCAACATTGTGTTAATTACATTTACTTATAACAAGAAACTACTAATATGAAATAATAACATTGCAAAATAATAAATAAAAAGTAATTAATTAAGTATTAATAGAATTTTCATCTATTCTTCCTAGCTCAGGGGAGACTAATCCCGTCCCTGAGCTTATTATTAAAAAAGAGTAATCTCTTTGTTTAACCTATCATTTAGGTTTATCTTGCAAAATGAGGAAAGCACTTCTTTCTTTTATTTCTTCTTATTAAGGTTTTTCAAACTTCTTCTGCTTATTTCTTCTTTTTAAGCCTTTGTTTGTTTTCTACCTTAATTTTAAGGAATTTCTTTTTTCTTATTTTATGAATGGGAGAAGGAATCATTTTATTACTACTATATTACTTTGACTAATCTTCTTTTAGTCATACCCACACTTCAGTAGATTCTTATATTACATCCATGTAATATTCTACTATATTCTCTTGCTTCACCCTTTGCACCATTCCCTAATACATTTATAATTCAAAGACACCGTCATAACCAGATAATAACTGGGAGAGTCGAAGTTTGAATTTGTACTAGGGTGTGTGTGTGGTATTTCAAACGTGCTATATTCTATCTCCATGGCAAAATAATAAATAAAAGAAAACATAAATTGTTGTAATTCATGTACAAAATGAAGTATAATAAAAGATATTTGAATAAATAAATACAAAAATTCCAGAAGAATAATTAATTTAATGATGAGATAGTATAAATCAAACAAATTGTGATAAGTAATATTGGTTATTCATAAATTATCAATGAATAATTAAAATTTATCTGGATTAATACCAATAATAATAGAACTATTGAGAGATACCGTATTAATTATATATTGGTTGAGTGTTTGGTGATGTAAACTCGTACCAGAATGTGTCAATAGAATACTCTAATAATACAATTATTGACGATTGTAATAATAGTTATAATAAAATATCATATGAAACAAACGAAAACATGAATATTCAAATAAATAACATTAATTGTATTATTTTATTTAGTATTATTTTAATGATAATTACTATTAAATAGTATAATTGTCACAAATATTTCATATCAAAATGTTGTATTGGTTTGGATTATTGATAATTATTAATTAGAATGAAATGCCTTTTCTTTGAATAAATCTCTTCATTGTTTCTTGTTAATCAAAATTACATTTAATTAATGAATAGAAATAAATATAGAATAATTATTATTTATTGGTATTTAATGATTGAAAAATAAATAAATAAACAATAGAATCAAAATAAAACAGTCATTTTATGTCATTTTATATTTAGTGTTTGTATTTAAGTTAAAAATATGTATAATCTTGTTTCTGTTAATTATATTTCATTATTCTTTTCTCCCTTATTTAATTTTCACTTTTTTCACTTTTATTTGAAAATTCTTTGATTATATTCATTATTCTTTTTTTTTCTTATTTCTTTCTATTTGACTTATTTTCTTTTTATTTACTTCTTCTTGTTCTTGATATGCTCCTTTTCTTTTTCTTTTACTTCATCGTTGGATTTCTTTGCCTTTTCATGTTATATTTTTACTGACATTTCTTTTCTTCTTTCTTGTTTATTCTATCTTTTATCTGATTATTCTCATTTAATGAATAACATATGGTTTAATGCCTCCTTAAACACTGCACTTCACATGGTAACAACCAACAATAAGTTACTTCTTCTGCTTATTGTCAGTAAACCAACAGACGATGACTTTGTCAACAACTTTGCCTGTCAGTTCCGAGAGTATCTAAGTGCGTGTGTATCAATAGTTATGGACAAGAGTAGGGAGGAGTTAGCACTCTTCAAATTGCTATGTTTGTTATTGTTCTGGTCACATTGAAATACTGATGAGTAGACAATCACCCCATCACAACACCATCATTGTTTGTCATGAACAAAGGAGGATTACAACATGTTTTGAAAGAGAATGAACTTTACAAAGAAAATGTCAAGAGAGTCATTGAGATGTACATTTCAGAAATACTCCAACACAACCAAAAGGTTCAAACAACAATCAGGAAGATGATATGTGGGGAATTGGTAGAGCATGAATTTGATGAGATGAGACAAGAGAAGAGAGAAGAAGAAAAGAAAAAGAAAGATGAACAAGAAGAAAAGAAAAAGAAAGATGAACAAGAAGAAAGACAAAAGAAAATAACACGAATCAGAAAGTTACAACAAGAAGAAGAGAAGAAAAAACGCAAAGAATTATTAGAAAAAGAACAAAACAAAGAAAAAGAAGAAGAAAAACGAACCAAAATAGAGAAAACAAGAGACAGAGAAATAGCAATCAAAATGACAGAAGAGTTGAAAAAAATAAAAGCACGTGAAAATCAACAATCTCGTGCTTTTGCTCATTATAAAAATGAAGAACATCAACTCTCATTAAAACTAAAGGATGATGTATTAAAGAAAAGAAGAATCCAAATTGGTGTTCGACTACCAAATGGTGAAATTAAAAAAGCAGTATTTGTCAAAGAAGACCAATTGTTTACTGTTTATAACTTTGTTCAAGGATTTGGATTTGACGGATTTGTTTTTGTAGACGGTCGAACTCACAATGAAATTAATAACTTAGAAGCTACGTTGGATGAACTTCATTTTTGGCCTTCTTTCTATTTGCACGCTGTCTTATTCAATAAGACAGACCCTTCTTACTATCAATAACTTATTCTTTTTCTTTCTTCTTTTATTATTAATATATTTGTTTTAAAATGAATAAAATAAAAATCAATTAAATTCAATCCTTTTTGTTAAAGACTTCTTCCATTTCTTTTTGAGCAGCTTGGAAAGCTTCTTTAAATTGTTTACAAATTTCAGCAGTATTAAATCTGAAAGTGAAAAGCATTTGGCAAGGTGTTTCTTGAGCAAAATCCTTTCCAACAGCATACATAATGCATTTGTCATTCGTTGGAACATCTTTTAAAACAACTTTAGGATGACAAAAATGGTCACATGCAAGTTTAAAGATTTGATCTCTGATAAGAATAACACGACTGTATTTAGTTTTTGGATGTCGAAGAATTTTAATATCACCTCTTCCTCTTTCTTTCCATTCTTTTGCATCAGCATCATATCTCATACAAAGAGCACGTGCTTCAAATTTTGTTTCTTCTTCAGACTTTGGTTGAGAAATTTCCTTTAATTGAACTACTGGTTCAAAATGAATATCAGCTTCAGCTTCTGGATCATCTAAAGTTGAAGTAGTATTTAATGTGATTGGGTTTTTATCAGCTTCAGTAGCAGACATGTTTAGATTGTATTTTAATTTTTTTGATTCAAATTAAATAGAAAACCCTTTCTAGGGCCCTAATTGAACTTAAAACCAATTTTCTGTTATTTAAAAATTTTTAGAAATAACAAATGAAAAAAAATTGATGATAAAGATGATATTTCTAGTCAAAATATTCATTTATTAAACGAAGTGTCTGAATTATTATTATTTACAAAGGAATTTTAGAGTAAAATAAGTTATTTCAATTCTTTGATTTTATCATAAAGTATTAATAAAAAGAATGATATTAAGAATAACTATTATTATTAATGAAGTACTTTTCATAAAACTAATACTTTTATTGTTGTATTATAAAGGAATTTTCATTTTTAACATCACTTTTATTTAATTAAAAAATATTTTGTTTGTTTTAACCAATTGTTGTTATTTAAACTTTTTCAAGTGAAAAAGGGATAAAATATTATATTGAAAAAGTAAAATACGTTTAATAACTTTTTGAAGAGAATGTTATTAAATGACTTACACAACTTAAGAATTATTAAAGCATAATGACAAATTTTGAAAAAGGAATGACTAAATAATAATACTTTGGTTATAAAATAAATAGATGGTATTCTTTTCCTTTTCATAACACAATTGTATTTTCATGATTTTTATGATATTTTTAACAAAGGTGAATAAAAACACTCTTGGATAATATTTCAGAATAATTCTAAGTCTAGGTGTTTTTATATTAATACTTATATTACCTCATAATGACTTAGAAGTTTAAAAGTAGTAGATTTATTATGAATAAAGAAAATATTGTTTATAAATAATAATATGTAATGTTCATCTTTTTGGTAGAGAGAAGAAATTATTTTACTATTAATCACAACAAAAATACAATAATTCTTGATAGTAAAAAGAAATGTTATATTCAAATATTTATAAAGAAAAGTATTTAAATAAAAGGTATTAGTGTATGCATTAAATTAAATTGATTAAAATCTTTATTAAGATGAACAGGATAATGAATTTTTCGTGATTATTATTTTGAGAGTGAGAGAAGGTGACGTAATAAAGAAATAATAAAAAATAGTTTAATTATAGTTTAATAATAATTTATTTTAAGATTTATTTAGAAAAAAGAAAAATCAGATAATAATTAATTAAGTGATAATAAAAGAAGTTGAAACAAAAAGGATTAAAAAAGAAAGAAGTTCAATTGTTTTGGAAAATTAATATTAATTTATTTAAATAAAAATAAAGAAATAGAAATAGAAGAAAGAATGGTTCTTCTTTAATTCGACTTGACTTCTAAATATTCTTTTAGAATCTATTGACATCTTCATTCTTCCACCACAATAACTTAAGGAAATATAAAGCTAATGGCACTGAATAATTATATTAAGAAAACAGAAATGGATTATTTATATGAACAAGCTGCACTTTGGTTAAAATGGGATAAAACACCAGAGACCAGAAAAGAAATTGAAGATCTTGTTGCTTCAAAGAATGAAGAAGAATTAAAGAAAAGATTTTGTAAAAGAATTGAATTTGGTACAGCAGGTTTAAGAGGTAAAATGTGTGCTGGATTTAATTGTATGAATAACCTTATTGTACAACAAGCATCACAAGGACTTGCATTAGCTGTAGAAGAACTTGTTCAAAACGCACATGAAAAAGGTGTTGTAATTGGGTATGATGGAAGATATCATTCAAAGGAATTTGCTGCTATTACAGCAAAAGTATTTATTTCAAAAGGATTTAAGACATATCTTTTTTCAACCCTTTGTCCAACACCATGGACTGCTTTTGCAGTTGGATATCTTAAAACTGCATGTGGTGTTATGGTGACAGCATCACATAATCCAAAAGCTGATAATGGATATAAAGTTTATTGGGAAAATGGATGTCAAATTATAGAACCAATTGATGCAAATATTGCATCAAAGATTCATTCTAATCTTGAACCATGGGATTTAAGTAATGTTGATATTTCTAAAGTTATTGATCCTCTTGCTGATGTTTCTGCTGAATATTATAAACAAATGATGTTAACTATTCCACATTTTGAATGTCCAGAACAACCAAAAGTTAAATATGTTTATACTGCTATGCATGGTGTTGGATCAAAATATGTTCAAGATGCTTTTAAAACTGCTAAACTTCCACAACCAATTCTTGTTCCACTCCAAAATGAACCAGATCCAGAATTCCCAACTGTTCCATTCCCTAATCCAGAAGAAGGTAAAGGTGCTCTTAAATGTTCTATTGAAGTAGCAGAAGCAAATGGAGCTACAGTAATTATTGCTAATGATCCAGATGCAGATAGACTTTCTGTTGCTGTTAAATCTGGAAATGGATGGAGACAATTTACTGGAAATGAAATGGCTAATTTAATTGCAGATTGGACTTATAATAAGTATATTGTTAGTGGAGATAAAACACCTGCTTTTATGGTTAGAAGTACTGTTTCATCATCATTTATTAGTAAAATGGGAGAAGTTGAAGGATTTGATACTTATGAAACATTAACTGGATTTAAATGGATTGGAAATAAAGCTAAAGAAATAGTTGATACACAACATAAAAAATTACTTATGGCATATGAAGAAGCTATTGGATTTGTTATTGGAAATATGTCATATGATAAAGATGGTGTTAGAGCTGCTGTTTGTTTTGCTGCTATGGCACTTGAATATGCAGAACAAGGATTTAATTTAGAAGATAGATTAAATATGTTATATGAGAAATACGGATATTTTGCAAGTAATAATAAATACTATTTCTGTTATGATCCAAAACTTATGGAAAAAATCTTTAATAAAATGAGAAATAATGGTCAATATTATTGGAAATTCGGTAAATATGCTGTTAAAAGTATTAGAGATTTAACTGTTGGAATTGATACTGCTCAACCAGATAAAAAGCCATTACTTCCAGTTAGTGCTTCTACTCAAATGATTACTTATACTTTTGAAAATGGTTGTAAAGCTACTTTAAGAGGATCAGGAACTGAACCAAAATTAAAATATTATATTGAACTTCCAGGTAAGAAAGGTGTTAAAGCAGAAGATGTTATTGCAGAATTAATGGATCTTTCCCATGAACTTCTTCAAGCTTCTCTTGAACCAGAAAAGAATGGTTTAATCCCACCAAAAGCTGAGTAAACGAATTAAATGACTTTCATTATTTCAAGAGTTTCTTTTTATTATATTTCTTTTCATTTTAAAAATAATAAATTGATAGGAAAAATAAGAATTTAAAATGATTCAATCTTAAATTATTTATTAAGTTTTATTTTTAGGAATAATTTCAAATACATAATCACTATTTTTAGATAACCGAAAATAAAAAAAATATTTTAATATATATAACAATTATAATTTAATCTAAAGAACTTAAAAATAAAAAAGAAAAATTTCATAGAAAAAACTAAATAATTATAACGAAAATCTATGTCAGGGAAAGGTAAAAAACCATTGACTGAAAAAACTGAAGTTATGAAAAAACATTCATCATTAGTGAATAGTGGAGAAGTAGAACAACCAACTATAGGGAATGTTTTTGTTGTTTGTTTAATTTTTCATATATACATCAAAAAAAAAGAGAAGAATAACAAAATATAGCAATATGATACAGAAGGGTTTAATAAACTTGACACAGAACAAATACGTAATTATTTACAACATGAAAAGAAATTATTTCTTAGTGATGATGAGATTAAAGAACTTATGTTCGAAGTTGTACTTCATAGTGATAAAGTACCAAAAACAGAATTTGGTACATTAGACAGTAATATTAATGAAAAAAGAGATGAATTAATGAATAAAAGTAATGAAAATAATACACCTACACAACAACATGAATTATGGTTATTATCAGAAAAAGAAGTTATTCCACAAAGTGCATTAGTATTTGATGCAGGAGATATTGAAGTTGATAAAGAAGAAAAACCAAGAAGAATTAAACCATTTACAACAGGGGATTATCCTGGATCTGATCAAAAAGCAGAGGATAGAGCAGCTATTGATACAATATTTGCAAAAACAACAGTAGTTAAAAGAAAGAAGTTTGAATTTATATTATCAAAACCAAAAGTTCAAGAAATGAAGCATATTGAAGCAAAAGAAAAAGATGAACCAAATGTAGATTATTTAAGAGAAGATGGTCCAATTCCAGATCCTAGAATAATATATTCAAATACTTTTGGTAATTTAGATGAATCATTTAAACCTGTTGATGAAGCAAATGAATTATGTGATAGATATGATGTTCAATTAACAAATACATATGATAAACAAATTCAATTATTTATTGCAGAAGTAAATAAAATAGGATTAATTGAACCAAATGATAATTTACCAACAGAACCATTATTTGGAGTATTTTCAATTTATAACGCTGATGAAACAGATCCAAATAAAGCAAAATTAACAGAAAATTTTTATATTGATATTAATACAAATGAACAAAGAGCTTCTATTAGAGAATTATCATGTGATGATGCACTTAATAATGATTTAAATAAATTTTGTATTGGACTTAAACAAAATATAGCAGAAAAATCTCATTTAAAATGTGTATTAATGGTATATAAAATTGCAGAAAGTGATCAACAAACTGCAAGAGATTTATATGTTGCAGGAGGTAAAGATTCTAAAATAAAAATAAAACAACAAAATAAAATATTTACACAATTAAATAAACAATATCTTGGAATTGGATTTGTTGATTTTAATGAACTTGTTAATGGAAAAATAAAAGGAAATAATCTTCCAATATTTAGAGAAGATATTGATTGTCCTAAAGATGTTATTTCTTTATTTGATACTGAAAAAACAGGAAAATTAAAAAAAATGATTATTGAATGGTCAATAAATATTAAAGTATTTGATAAAAAAAATGATAAAAAGAAATATCGATTATTAGACCCTTCTGGATTTGATTTGAAAATAGGTAATTCTAAATCAATAATTTTAAGACAAATTGAAGACTTTACTAGTCTTCAAGATGAAGGATTTTATACAGATTATGTTAATAATGTTTATATTTATCCAACAGAATTTGTTGTTCCTGCAAAAGAACGTAAAAAATGTAATTTTGTTATTACAGTTTATATTAGAGAAGATGATGATCAATTTCATAGAGATAATCATTTGGGAGTATTTTATAGTACTACTTCTAATGAAAATTCTTTTAAAAAATCACAAAAAACATCTGTTGGAAGTGGTGGAAAAAATGATACATTTATGGATGAAATTAAAGCTAAATTACCAACTAAATTAACATCACAACATCATTTATTATTTGTTATTCAAGATGTTTCTTTGGATAATAATGGAATAGACGATAAAACAGATAAAAATGAACAAAAAGAAAAAAAGACATTTTTTGCTTCACTTCCATTTCTTGAAAAAGGAAAACTTATTGATGATAAAGAATATTTCCTTCCTATCTTTAGTGGACAACCATTTGAAGGATATTTAACATCAACATATAAACCATTAGTTGAATCAACTGATAAAGTTAAACCAGGATTAAAAATTCGATTAAAATTTATGACAAGTGTTAATGTTCAAGATGAGACATTACATAATTTCCTTGGTGCTGTTAATGAAGCATCATTTAAAGAAAGAGATGGAGGTAATAATAATGGAAGAACAATGATTGATATGGAAAGGATGATTGAAAAAACACTTGATGAAATGAGAATTAAAACAGATAAAAAAACATTAATACATCATTTTCCATTTATTATGCAATCATTATTTAATATATTTAAAAATGTAAAAGATTCAGCAAATATTTTAAAATATGTTCTTAGTGTAGTAGAATGTGTAATGAAAGATGATACTTCAAATCAAAAACGACCAAAAATTTTAGTAAGTTATATTGATTATTATTTTGAAAAACCAAATAAAGGAAGTAAACCTATTTTTTCAGCATTAATGCAATCATTATTAAAATTATTTACTGAAATTAGTGAATATGATTTTCAAAGTTCTAAAGAATCACAAAAATTACATACAATTTCAATATTAAAAAATTCATGGTTTTTCTATGAATTAATTGTTAAATCATTAACACTTGAAATGGATTCATCAGGATTATTAAATAATCCTAGTAGTTTAAAATTTTTTAGAAGTCATATTTCAAGTTCAGATGAGTATGCTTCATTTTCTAAAACTCTTCTTAAATTTGTTGATGTTCATAGTTGTGTTATGAGAAGAGTTATTGGAATTGCAACAGAAAAAGGAAATAATGATTTATTTAATTATATCTTTACTGCTAATTCTCATTTTGCATTATTTTTAACAGATTTATTAAGAATTTATAGAAGATGTGTTATATTAGAAGCAATTGATAGATATCTTTCAATTGTTGCTAGTGTTTATGACCCAATTTCATCTACTTATTTTTCACCTGTAGATAATGATTTTAGATATGTTGCTCCAAATAATTTATTCTTCCCTAAAAGTAATAATAAAGAAGAAATTGCACAATCAATGAATGGTAGACAAGCAGCAGAATTATTAAGAATAGATTTCTTATCTATTTTATCATCATTTCCATATTTTGTTGAAGTTAGTGTTCCAGTAGTTACTCCAACAAAAATTAATCAAATTCAATGTAGTTTAAATCAATATACTTCAATTATTTCACAACGTCATATATTCTCAAATATCTTTTGTAGAAATATGTTATTATTACTATCAAGATCAACAAAAACAGCAAAATATGCATTATCTGTGTTATTAAAGAAAGTTATTATGTTAGACACTGATTCTAGATATCAAAATCCAATTATTAAACAATCAATTGCTGAAATGTTCTTTTGTGTTGTTTTATATCTTGTTGAACAAGAAAAAATGCCAACAGCAATTTGGGGAAATGAAAATACTCAATTTAATGATACTGAAATAGAAGATTTCTTTATTATATTCATTTGGATATTAAAAAATATTAATAAAAATATGTTACAATATTATATTGTTTCTGAAACATCTGCTCATATTGCATCATTTTTTGAAATTATTAAACATTGTCTTATTATATTAACTAAAGATACTATTGCTTCTAGAAATATAGAAGAAGATGTTAAATTTAAAAGAAATACAATTATTGAATCATTTAAAGATGATACTTCATTATCTACACAAAATTCAATGAAATCTAAAAGTATAAATAGTCATAGTCATAATAACTCTTCTTCTATTTCAATTGAAAAAAGTTTAAAAGATAAACTAAATCAAAAAAGTTATACTCATTGGGAATTAGTTAAAGATGATGTTTCATTAGTAATTTTAGATGTTATTGAATTAGCATTTAATGGATTATTTGGAAGAGAAAATTGGTTAATGCAAAATCTTACAAATATTATTTCAACTACAATGTTTAAAATTACATTTACTGGTCATTATGCAAATTTATTCCTTAGATTTATTAGAAGATTATTAACATCAAGAGGGAATTATATCTTTAAAGAAAATATTAGTTTTGGATTTAATCTTTTAAAATCTACTATTTCTCTTTGTGACAATGAAGACTATGAACTTAGACAAGCCGCTACAAGTGTTTTATATTTATTTGCTAAAACTAATTATCAAGTAAATGGAGATACTCTTTCAAGTAGAGTTTATGCAATTAGTTCTATTGCAGAACAAAATAAAAATAATTATTCAATTATTTCAAAAGCAATTGAAGTTCTTCCAGAATGGGCACAACTTGATGCAACTGCAGTATCACAAAATCATTCAACAAATGAAGTTGAAATAAAAAATAGTAATGATAATGAAAATAAACATAAAAACGATTCAATTAAAAGAAAAAAAGAATTAATTGAAAGTATTGATAACGAACGTGGAGGAGATGGAAGATGGTGGGCAAAGAAAAGAATGTTAATTTATTTAAAAAGAAGATGGGAAAAGTCTAATGAAACTGTTCAACTAATTGATCAAATTTTAGATAAAATTCAAGACTCTGTAGATAAAGAAGGAAAAGTAGGAGAATTAAGAAGGAAAGCAAATGATCAAGCAATTAATATATTAACATTATTTAGAAATATAACAGCAAATGTTGCAATTGAAACTGATTATAAAAAATTTGTTGAATGGCAAATGAAAAAATTAAATGAATTAAAAGAAGAATTAGATACATTTGAAAAAATATATAATGAATTAATGTCTGTAGGTGGGTCTATGGGAGGAAGTGTATCTGATTATAGAATTGTAGAAAGTAAAGTAATTGATTTATGTAATGATCGACAACATGTACTTGAATCAGAACAAAAAGCTAAAAGTGTTGGAGTAATAAAAAAAGAAGAATTTATGAAAGAACATGAAACTCAAAGAGAAGTTATTGCAGAAGAATTTTCATTAATTTGTAAAAGACTTGCAGAAGGAAAAGATATGCAAAATACTGCACAAAAAGCAATTGAAGAATTTAATAAATTAAAAAATAAAGCTGGAAATGCTCATGATAAAATGAGAGTTTTAGATGGTGCTAATGGTGGAACTAATGTTTGGGAAGTATTATTTGGTCAGTGGAAAAGTATTCTTCCTAAAACTACTGAAATTATTCAAAGAATTATTGATTTACAAATTAAATTAAAAGAATCTGAAAGAGAGCGTATTGATATTCAAGAAAAAGTATTTGGTGAACTTGCAGCAGCAGAAGAATATGTAAAAGTTGCAGCTTTTGAAGTTGATGCATTAGATGTATTAAGTTTTGAAGGAGATGATGTAAAAGAAATGAAAGAATTAGCAGAAAGTTTAGTAAGAGATTGGCCAGCTATAGAAAAATCAGTTGAAGCAAGTAAAAAATGGTATGGAAATGGAATAAATGAAGGAATAAGAAGAAATGAAAAAATAATGTTAAGTGGATTAAATGTTAAAATCGAAAATATATCAAAAGCTAAATTAATGGAAGCATTAAAGAAATTTAAAAGTAAAGATAAAGAAGAAAGAGAAAATCAAAATCGAAGAAATGAATATGCACAACTCTATACTATTGTTATTGATCTTGCTAAACGAGGAGATGTAGAACCAAGTGCTCAAGTAAATGAAATTAGTAAAAAAATAAAAGAAATTGAAAATACACATACTAAAAACCTTCAAAGTCAATGTAAACAACAAATTGATGAAATTATTAAAATTGTAGAACAAAAACCTAAATATTCTATTCTTCTTCCAGGAATTGAATCTAAAGAACAAGCTAAAGAACAAAATAAACAAGAAGTTGTTGTTGTTGAAAAATTTGAAGAAGAATTATTATTACTTAAAAATGAAATTTCTAAAATGTTTAATTATATGAAAGAACATCAAAAATTAATTGATGAACATGTTGGAGAAGATGTAATATTTGATAATATTTTTTCATTTGCTCAAGAATATTCTAGAGTACCATCAGTTCATTTAAGTTGGTATAAAACTTTATCAGAAAAACAAGGAGAACGTGGTAATTATGTTGAAGCAGGTATTTGTGCTGTTCATTTTGTTTCTTATATTTACAAATATTTAAAAGATAAAATACCATTATTGAATGAAAATTATTTAACAGAAATTACAACAGATTTCTTAGATTATGAAAAACCTTTATTAAGAACTGACTTAGAAGAGTTAAGTGAACAATCATTGGTTACTTGGGTATTCAAAGGAATTGATTCTTTCCAACAAGCAAATCTTCATTCTTTTGCTATTGCTTTATGTTATTTTATAATTCCATATTTCTCTGCTAATCATGATTTTAGAAAATTAGCACAAACTCATAAAAGAATTAATGAATTATATAGTTATATGGTTGATCCTAATAACAGATATATTGGTTATTTCTATCTTGTTTCATTCTTTGGTACATTTGCTAATGCTGGAAAGAAATATGTTTATAGAAGTACTTTAAGAATTAAAGAATTCCAAGAATTATTAATTAAAATGCATCCTCAAGGACAAATTCTTGAATCAAAGAAAGAACCTGATCCATCAAAAGCTCAAATTAGTGTTATCAATGTATCTCCATTTAATATTGGTGGTGATTCTACTAAGGGTGGAAGTGATTTCCCACATACTTCTACATTTTGTAGTGAAATTAGAGTAGTACTTGATGGTGCTAAACCTGATGTTTTAGAAAAAGCATGTAAAAAGAGAACTATTTTGAAATTAAAACATTCATTCCCAAGTGTGTTAGAAAGAGAAGAAGTTATTGAACAAACAAACATGATGTTAACTCCAATTCAATCATCAACTGATGATATTAATTGTAAAGTTGAACAACTTGCTACTTTATTAGAAAAAAGAGAAGAATTAAGACTTTCTACACTACAAGTTTTATTAAAAGGTATTTTATCTGCTGAAGTTAATGGTGGACCTGGAGCTATTTGTAAAACATTTTTAAATAAAGAAGGATTAGATAAAAAATTATATCCTGCTGAAGATGTTCAAAAACTTTTTGATGTTATGCAAAATTTACTTGACAATTGTAAAGAAGGACTTGCTATTCATAAAGGTCAAATGAAAGCAGAAGCAGCAGGTTTACAAAATATTTTTGAATTAGGTTTTTTGCAACTAGAAAGAACGGTAAAAGAATGTAAAGTTCTTGTTGATGAATATGTTAAAAACGAAAATTCAAAATAATTTTAATCTTTTTTTTTTTAAAGGGATTTTTTTCATTTTAAATTAAATTTTCTATAGCGGTAACAATAATCTAATGTATTGATTATTATTTCATTTTTATTAATAATATTAATTATTTGATGTACTTTCTTCTTATTATAATAATAATTAATAAATTGTACATCTTCTTGTTCTTTCATTTCTTCTTCTTTAATTATTTTCATTACTTCCTCTTCTTCTTTTTCTTATTCTTGTTCATTCTAGTTATTATTTCTTTTAATTCATTATCTTGACATTGATGTTTTATTATTTCTTCTTCCATTATTCTATTTATTTCTCTTTTAATTTCATTCTTTATTTTAAATGTCTTCTTTATTATTTCTTTATATTCATTAATATCATTAACTTTAATTCCAAATTCTTGTATTATTCTTTCTATTATTTCTTCTTTAAGTTGACCTCTTAATTTTCTTTCAAATAATTTCAAAGCAAAACATTTATAAAATGTTAAAATTTCTTCTTCTCTCTTTGTTTACTTAAATTGTTTTGATTGTCTAATTCTAATGTGGTGATATTCTTATCCTGAATATCCATTTCTTCAATGAAATTCTGCGTTAACTTTCTTTTTTTTTTTGGAAGATCATCTTCACTTGATGATATTTCATCATCTACTACCACATTGGGGGTGAGGTCATTCACAATTTGTGTTTCTGATGAGTCTGTTATATTGTAATTTACCTCATCTTTCTTCTTTTCTTCTTGTGTATTTTCATTTTCTAATTTAGATAATTTATCTTTCAGGAATAATAGTTGCTGTGTTAAATTGTTTACTTCAGACCTTTTTCTTTCAGATTCAGCATGGAATTTGAATATTTTTTTATCTCACTCTTATTTTCGTGTTTATCTCCTTCTCATGCTTCTTCTTTAATGCCATAATATCTTTTGTTAATTTATTAATGGTTTATTCTGTTATTTGTATTTCCTTTTTCATTTCTTCTTTCTCTTTCATATCCTCCTCCACTTTTCCTCTATTTCTTTTATTCTTTTTTCCTTTTTACTGTTTTCTTCTTCCTTTCCTACCAGTCTCTTCTTCTCTCCTTTAGTAAACTCTTTATCATCGTCTTCTTCATTTTCAATACTCATTACATAGTTATTGCATATTCTATTGTCTTTAATCTCATTTGGGTTGTATTGATTATTGTCTTCTTCCATAGTCATACTAATAGTTTCTTCTTCCATTCTGATTGTTTTTGTTTTTTCTCGTGCAAGAAAATACCATCTTCTCCATATTGTTGATGATGTATATTCTTTAATCTTGGTATTTTTAATTTCTTCTATTTCTTGTGGTGTAAGTATTTTAATTTCTTCTTCAAAGAGTTTTTTCCAATATTCTTGATTTTGTGTTTCAATCATTTCTTTTCTTTGATTTCTATTTTGTTTCTTATTTTGATATTGTTTATATCTTCATTGTGCTTTATTATGGTATTTGTTTTTCTTATATTGATATTATTGTTTATTTCTATTGAAATTATTATTAAAATGTTTATGACGATGATTATGATTGAAGTGATGAGTGAAATGATTTGTATCATCAATGTTGTGATACTTATTGTTATAATTGTTGTAATGATTAGTATGATTATTCATGTATTTCTGTCAATACAGATAATACCTATTTTCACTCATTCTTCTGTCATTTATATTTCTTGGATGATATGAATTTCTTCTTTTTTGGTTATTTGTTTTTCTATATTTTTTGTGGTGTCTCCTGTAATGCATCTCTTTCTATTATTTTGCTCCTCACAAAAAAATAAAAAATAACTAAAAGGTATGATAAATACTGTATTTGTAACTATTTATGTTTATATTTTATAACAACTTGTATTCAATTTGTATGAAATATTAATGAAATAGATGATTTGATGAATCATATTTATTTTTATTATTTTTATTCTTTTATTTATATGTTATTTATCTATCGTATTTTTATATATTTATTTCTCTGTTTATATTATTTATATCATTGTATTCTTCTTATTATCTATTTATTATTATATTCTTATTATTTGTTGTTTTTTCTTTTTATATTATTTAGATTTTCTTATTTATGTTCTTTTATATTTAAATGTATTTTATTATTTGTTTATTCATCTTTTCATCTTTTATATTATTATCATTTATATCTATTTTCATTTTATATTTATTCTCTTTTGTTTTATATTAATATTAATTTTATCTTTGATTTTATTATTATATCATTTATTTTCATTTCTTGTTTTATTTATCATTTATTCTTATTATTCTTTTGTTTTTTATATTCTGTATCATATATTCATATCATTTTCATTTATATTTTATCACTTATTACATGTTATAATAACATAACACATATTATTGATTATATAATAAACATCATAATGAAATTATACATATAAATAATAAACATAAAAAAGAGTAAAATATTTTTCAACAATAAAACAATACCAATTATTTTACATCATTAAATTAGACACTATTTATTGATTATTTCTAATTTTTACATTAAAATTACACATTTTATTTATTCTTTTCTTCTTTTATTACATCTTTGTGATTTATTATTTTTATATTCTTCTTCTACTTTCTTTTTATTCTTTTATATATTTATATTATTTTTATATTATTTGTTTTTCGTTGTTGTTTCTAGTTGTTTCTTCTATTATTTATCAAAACTATATTCATTTATTCATTCTTTTTATTTCTTTTTTATTAATTCTTGAGTATTGTATATTTCTTTAATATTTCATTTGTGTATTATCAAAATATATGTTTTATTGAATTTATGTTGAATAAATTATTAAATAATTCAATATTTTCATTCTTAATTATTCATTCTTTATTCTGAAATGTTGTGTATATTTATATTAAATTAATATGATGAATGAATATCAATATTATTGTTTATTTGATTTTAAAAAATAATAAATGAATATGAAATAATGAAATAAAATAATGAAGACAATGAAATGACAATGAAATAGAATAATCTAATATTGAACAAATTAAATAAAGAATATATTGAATATATCATTATTGTTACTTTATTATTTGTTATTTCAATTATTAAATATTAATAAATTATTATTCATGAATATTTAATTGATTGATATTTTACAATTTCATTTTCATTTTATTTAATAAATGAAATATAAATAATAAATGAATGAATAATAATTTAATATATGAAATAATAAAAAGAAAAGAAAGATAAATAAGAAAGAAATATGATGTATTTAATATATAATATAATTTATTATCAAATATAATAATATCAAATGATGAATTATTTTTATTTCAAAATATTTTGCATCAATAAAAATGTTGCTAAATATTTTGCATTATTAATTTTTGCATCATTAAATTTTGCGCTTTTTTTATTTGTTTCAATAAAATTTGCATCCTTTATTTTTTTCTTTCTTTTCTTCTTTTATCATCTCTTATGTTTTATTACACTTTATCTTCTTTATTTTTATATTCACATATTTCTACTTTTATTCTTTCTTCATCATATTCTACTTCTTACTTTATTTTTATTCTTTTATATCTTTCTTTCTCTTCTTTTTCAATTATTTGTTTTTTTTCGTTGCCTATTTAATGCAATAAGATTAAAAATTAATGTAGAAAAGAGTGTGATAATGACTAATATTAATAGTCAAATAAATGGAGAATTAGCTGAACTACCAAGAGTAACTAATGACAATCATTATAAATATCTTGGTATTGAAATAGGAGATAAAGTAAATATTAATAAATACTGTACAAGAATATTAAATGATGTATCTTCTATTCTATCATCATTAAACACTATGAAATACAGCAGCCTCAATACAATAAGAAAGATTAATAGTGATATAATCTCCAAATTAAGATATGGATTTTGTATTGTCACATGGAAGTTAGGAGAATTGGAGAATATAGATAAACAAATAAGAAAATCATTAATACAACTCCAATTATATAGTAGAAATATACCCAAAAGTAGATTATATGTTAAAATAAATGAATTGGGAATAGGATTAATGTCAGCAAGAGATGAATGTGCTAAAGAATTATTAAGAATATATTTAAAATACAAATATCAGACACAGAAATATGAGAAATGATAGAAACAATAAAAGAAAATCCAAATTGAATAATTAAAAGAATGAAGAAAGTATTTTGTAAGAAGATTAATTTTAATGAAATAATGAATGTAATAGAAATAAATGAAATAAAACATGATGTAAAGAAAATAATTGAATTTGTAAATAATGAATTAAATGAAAGATATTTAAATGAATGGAAAGAAAAGAAATGTGGTGAATATATAAGATGTGCAAATGGCACTTTCAATGATAAGAAAATTAACAGTAGCCACATGGAGGTCATTAAATATAAAAAGAAATGCATTCCTCCAAGTAGTAAAAATGCAAGAAGGAGTAAGTATGACAGGAAGTATTAAATCAAAAAATACTCCAAAATGATGATTTAAAATATTGTAAACATTGTCCTAACACAATTGCATCTATTAGTCATATCTTGTCAGGATGTAATGAAAAAGAATCAAATATTAAAACATGATTATGTTTGTAAACAAATATATAAACACATATTAATTACACATTTTAATGAATTTGATGCAATTGATTTTAATAATCCTCCTAAATGTATTTATAATGATGAAATAGTAATAACTTACAATAAAGATTTATTGATTAGTGACCATTCTTTCCATGCTAGAAGATAAGATATATAATATCAAAATATGAAAGAAAAGAAAGGATACATTATAGATGTTGTTATATGTCAAGATAATAATTTAGAATTAAATTATATTCATAAAATAAATAAATACAAAGAATTACAAGAGAAATTAAGAAATAATAGAGAAATAATATATGTAGAAATAATACCTGTTATATTATCAATAAATGGATTAATTCACAAAGAGTCAGTAAGAAGATTAAAAACACTGAAATTACAATTAGACTTCTCCAAAATCCTACAAACAATTATTATAAAAAATATGAAAGACTTAATGTTTTATACAGGAAATTCTGGCAGCACACTAGAAGAAGAACAATCTAATTCAAACATGTTAGAAATGAACTCTAATGCAGAAATAGAACATATTGAAGAAACTGAAATAATCACTTTTCAATATGAAGAAAATCCAATTGTGGATATATCTAATAATTGACCTTTTTTTCATTTTAAATTAAATTTTTTATTAAAATGGTTGTATTATTTATAGTATTAGAAGTTGTTACCTAAGAATTATTCAAACTATAAAGTATTATATTGGTTTTTCCATTTTTTTTATTCTTTTATTCTACTTTGTTCTACATTAAAAGAAGTAACTTTTCTGTTAAAAATGAAATCTTCTAAACTTAAAATCAAGATTAAACTAATATTTCAAGATGTTAATTCCTCTTTTCATTGCAATTGCTTCTGCACTTACTTGTGATTCTCTTAATGCAAAAACACTTTATAGTCCAGATGAAGCGTTTGAATGTATTGAATCAATTCAAACAACAGAAGAGTTTAACACTAAATTACTTGGAGATATTACGACTTTATTTGAAACATATGTTTATAAAGACATAGTTAAAAATCCACCCCAACCATCAATTGATTCTAATTACTTTACATCAGTAGATATAGATGAACGTTTAAAAGCTATTAATATTAAACAAACACAACTTTATTCATTTTATCAAGACATTCAAAGTTTATTCTTTGATATTCATGATCTTCATCTTTCTTTTTCACTTGAATCTAGTGAAAATAACACATACGTCTTTGATTATTTTTATTATTATCTTCCATTTAATTTTAATATTGAACGAGATAAAAAAGTTTATTTAAGTCCAAGTAATGTTAATGTTAATAATAGTATTCCTGAAATCTTTGAAAAGAATAAAAATATTGAAGTATTATCTATTAATGGTGAACCTCCTCTTAATTTCATTAGAAAATATGGAAATGAACATACTGGTCTTAAATCACCACATGGAAGATTTACTTATGCTCTTGAGTCATTTAACTTTGGTAGTTTGGCATCAAATCCATTGACTAAAGAATTCTTTAATACTCCAATTGAGATTAAATGGTTTGATGATTCAAGTGTTATTGTCTCATATAAATTACTTTATCTTCCTATTAGATTTTTATCTAAAAGAGCACAAAAAGCACTTAATTTAAGAAGACAAAGAAAAGTATTTTCTCCAATCAAACCACATGATTTATTCCCAGAACTTAAACAATCATCTAAAGGAAAATTTGATTTAGAAACTTCATTTTCGAGTTTAGCATGTAAAACATATAAAGAAGAAAATAGACGTATTAATTTGTTAGTATTACAAACATTTTATCCAAGTCCTTTGGAAGAGGATGAATTTTTTGAAGTATTTGAAAAGTGTATACAACAATTTGATTCAAATAATTATCCTATTACCATTATTCTTCCATTAAATGGAGGAGGATATACTGACCTTGAAAGTAACTTTGAAAATGTTTTAGCACCACATGCTGATACTTCTTTTATTGGAAGTGTTAGAGTTAGTGAAGGAACAGAAAATTGTCTAAAATTTGGTTATGCTAGTTTGTTTGCTGACCCAACAAATTGTTCTGTTAGATTTGATGAACCTCTCCTTTCTAGAAAACCAATTGGTTCATGGTATTCTGATCCAATTATTGATCATTATGGTGATGTTGAACATAAAAGAAGTCAACCATCTCTTGCTCCACCACAACAAATGCTTGCTTCAAGATTAGTAAATAATCCAAGAAAACCAACAGATATTGTTGTATTTACAGATGGTTTTTGTTATTCTGCATGTTCATTATTAACTAAAGGATTAAGAGAAAAAGGAAATGCTATTATTGTTGGATTTGAAGGTGATCCTGAAAAAGAAAATTCATTTTTTGATGCTGGTCAATCACCAACATTTGTTATTGAAGACATTAATACTTTAACACCAGAAGCTTTTGATTTACATACGTATGGAGGTTCAATGCAAATATCTTTCTTTGAAACTTACAGATTTAAATATGATTATAATGAAACTATTCCAAGAGAATTTTTACTTGACCCAATCAATGAACGTTCAAATCTTTATAGTTATAAAGAGTCAATGATTGATTCTTTTGCTGATGAAGCAATTCAAATTATTAATAAATATAAAAATGAATGTGATAGTAATAATAAAAGACTTGTAAAAGTTGATATTGCTTGTGATAAAGAAATACTTATTGAACATGCTCATGGTGGGTATGAATGTGGTGATGATAATAAATGGACAAAGAAATGTGTTGCTTCTTATTGTGACGATGGGTTTAAATTTGATTATGAAAATCAAAAATGTATTATTGATGTATGTTATTCACAAGATGATTCTCAAAGTGATAACGATGATCATTCTTTCAATTATTGGATTGTTATTTCCTTTGGAATCTTAGCTATACTCATTTTAATAATTGCATTAGCAATAGGATTAACTATTGTTATTATTTCTTATAGAAAAATGAAAGCAAAATCAAAATACAATACCTTCGAATAATTGAGGAAATTTGGTTTAAATAAATATTTCTTTTTTTTTTCTTTATAACAAAAAAGAGTTTTTAAAAATGTTATTGTTTTTGATAAAAATAGTAATGAAAAATAACATTTATTATTCTTTTAATTAATACAAATATATTTGTTATACATAACAATTAAATTTTTCAATTCAAGCAATTTCAATTAGTTTTAGCAAAAAAATACTTCCTAGTACCATTTTACGATAAGTATTCGTTCAATTTTTTCTTTAATATCCCTTGGATTACCTCCAAGTGTTTCAAGAGGATTACTACCTTTTGGAACAACAACAGTATATGGCAAAGTACCAGAGATATCACCATCAGGTTTATAACATATCTCTAATTTTCCTGTAATAGAAAATGCACCATAGGCTGTAAGAATGTCATAGAGAGGATTCTTATTTATTTCAAAGCTTTTATGTTCTTCAGACTTTAACTCAACATAACATTGTTCTCTATTCTTCACCAATTGATAAATTTTAAAACTATCATCCTCATTCCATCCTTTCTCGGCTTCAGATTTTTGTTTTGAGAATGTAGCAACACAACTGTCTAATGTAAGAATAAATAGAGATATATTGGTATTATTCATTGCTTCAATTATTTTATTTCTAATAACCTTTGGTTCTTCCTCATTAGAATAATTGTTATAATAAAATAACTCTTTTGCTTGTTTCTTTTCAAACTTTTTATTTTTTTTTTTCAAATATAAAGGAGCAATTTCTCTAAATGAATTTAGAACTGTTCCTACTGGGTGAACCTTTGCATGTTTTGAAGCCAGTTGACGACGTATTTCCCTATCACTAGGAGAATCGCTTTCAGTACTACTTTCTTCATCCTCACTATCACTACTTTCGCTATCACTATCACTATAACTACTTTCACTATCACTACTTTCACTGTCACTAGAATGTAATTTTTTCTCATCTTCTTTAGTATGAGCTTTTTGACCTTTGCATGACTTTGTGAGATCAGTTTTACTAGATTCACTACCTTTTGTTTCATTAGTACTTGGCTTTGAATTAATTAATTTTTCAGACTCTAACTTTTTCATATAAAAGGTTATGTGTAAAAGACTTTGCAACGTAAGAGTTAATAAACGAAATGTAATATAATCACTACGAGTGATATATTGGTTTTGAAACTCATTCAACAATTGTTGAATATTAAAAACATCATTATAAATGATGTCTGGTGTTATTTCTCCTTTAAAACTATTTTCTTGGTTGACAAATGACGTTTGTTTTTTTTCGTTGTTGAATTGTTTGAAAGAATTGTTTTCTAAATTTTGGGATTGGCACAAATTATATAAACAACCATTCATTGGAATTGGATTAATTCTGACATGTTGACCTTCATAGCTTTGTTGGTAACCTTCATAGCTTTGTTGGTAACCTTCATAGCTTTGTTGTGGAGTATGTACACTTGTTGTGACGTCTCCAAATACAATATTATTTTCATTGACATTGGGTGAATAAGATGTTTGGTTCATTAATAATAAAATGACACTTATGAAATCTTTAAATATAAAACTTTCATTTAAAAAAAAAAAATAAAAAGAAAAAGAAAAAGAAAAAAAGTGATGAAGAAATGATGTTAAGTAAAAAATATCCTAAAAATAAAGTATTGTTGAAAAAAAGGTTCAGAGTAACTTTAAAAAAAAGAAAATGATATTTTTATTTTAAAGAAATAATAAAATAGAAAAGAATATCGTCACCTAAACGTGTCATTTAAAAGGATAAAACAATTAAGGGATATTCCCGATTTAATAAAGTAGAAAAAGAATCAGATAAACTTCAAAGTGTTAACTACTGAAAATGGTAGCATTTCAAAATAGAAGAAGAAAAAAAGCAGGTTTTAAGCGATTAAGTTGGTAAAAAAGAAACAAACAGGCAAATTTCAAGGAATTTCAACTCACTAATTACAACCAAAATAGCTTTTATTTTTGAGACATTTAAGAACTCGTCAGTGTCTAACTAAGAATTAAACTATTCATTTATGTCAGACAATTCAGAACACTCTCATTCTACTTCACAATCAACAAAATCATCAATGTCTTCATCTTCAACTGTAAGCTCAAATGAAAAAGAAAACCAACAACAAGTAGAAACACCTGTTTCTCAAGAACCAACACCATCACCAAGACCTGTTGTTGTTGAAGAAAAACCAGAAACACCACTTGCTCAACCAGCTGAATTAACTGTTGAAGAAATTGGAGGATCACCATCTGCTTCTAGTTCACCAGATATTCCACCAGTAGAAATTGCAAAACCATCAAGTGTATCTCCACAAGAAGAAAATAAAGCAGAAGAACAAAAAGAAGTTCAAGAACCACCAAGAGCATTTTCTAAACCAATTTCACCATTTATTAATGGAGAAGAAGAAATTTGTAATTTTAACGGAAAATTAACAGAAGAACAACAAAAGAGATTAGTTAATAATAATGAAACATTAGCATCATTATATAATAAAGCTAAAGCATATGAAAAGAAAGCATATACTGTTCTTGGAAATAAAATAAGAGAAAAAACATGGAAAGAATTTATTAATGATGTAGAAGGATTTGCATGTGGATTTTTAAAACAAACACATAAAGCAGTTATTATTTCAATGGCAAATAGTGAAAATGCATATTCTATTGGATTTGCAGCAATGTTAACAGGAAGATATGTTTGTTATGTTAATCCAACATTACCAACATATAGATTTGAATCAATTGTTAATTTAATAAATGCAGATGTTGCATTTATTGATAATACTATTATTGATAATTTCAAAGAAGTTCAAAAAACACATGAGAACTTACAACTTGTCATTGTTGGAACTGATGTTGGAAAAGATAAAAACCTTTGTTCAATGAGTGTTTACTTTAATGAAAAAGTTGATAAAACAGCATTTGAAGAGCAATTAAAAGAATTAAAACCAGAAACAGTAGCAGAAATTATTCCATTAGTTCATGGACAAGGTTATAAAGGAGTTATTTGGACACATTCAAATATTTGTGCAGCATTAAAATCAAATGATCCAGGATTATCATCAGAAATGACTATTATGGAAGTACTTCCACAATCAGCATTTGGAGAAAGAATATATGGAATGTATTTTGCATTAAATGCAGAATTACATGTAATTATTGCACAACCAACAGATCTTCAATTTGGAGGACCTAAATTTATGAAAATGTTAAAACAACATAAGCCAAAGTTTATGTTAGGAACACCAAGAATATATGAAAAAATATCAAATTATGCTAGTGATAAAATTGATAAGTCTACTATTCTTACTCGTAAAGCAAAAAATTTTGCAGCTAAAAAAGGAGTTGATGGACAAATGAAACAAGGAGTTGGAGAATCTAAACCAAAAGGATATGGAATTTCAAGAACTCTTGTTTATAATAAAGCATTAAAAGCTATTGGATTACATAAATGTTATTGTGCATGTTGGGGAGTTATGAGTGAAAAATCAAGAGCAAAATGTCTTGGACTTGGAATTACTGTATTTGAAGGATTAATGTTACCAGAAACAACAGGATTTTGTTTAATGCAAAAGAAAAATTTATATGTTCCAGGAAGTTATGGATGTAAAGTAAAAGAATGTAATATTGAAATAAGAGAAGGAGAAATTGTTGCAAATGGAAGTGTTGTTTCATGTGGATATTGTAATGAAGGAAGTCAACATGTTTATCCATTTGAAAATGGATTTAAAACATATTTAATGGCAACATCATCTAAGTTTGGTAAAGAAAAAGAAGAATTTTATCAACCAAATGGATATAAATATCCATTAATTGTTACTTCTAATGCAGAAATGATTGAACCACATTATATTGAAAAAATGTTATGTACTATTCCTACTATTGTTAAATGTATTATTCTTGGAGAAAATGAAAAATTCCTTTCAGCATTATTTGAAATTAATTATGATAAAGCAAAAGAAGAATTAAAAGAAAAATGTCCAAGTAAAGAAAATATTAGAAGTGATGCATTCTTTGGTACATTCTTAAGACAAAAAGTTGAAGCATTTAATCAAACATTACCAAGATCATATAGAATAAAGAAATTTGTTGTTGTTGATTTACCTGATGTTGAATGTGCTACTGAATCAAATACTTCAATGGAGAAAAGAAATGCAACAATTAAAAAGTATGAGAAAGGAATTGATAAATTATATCATCAACCTAAAGCTGTTGAAGAAGCAGATGAAAAGAAAAGAAAGAAAGAACAAGAAGAAATTCAAAAACAAAGAAGAAAAGAAGAAAAAGAAAGAGAAAAACAAGCAAAGAAACAAAAGAAGGAAGAAAAAAAGAATTCTAAGAAAGATTAAATTAAATAATTAAATAATAATATTTTTATTCATTTGTTATAAAAACATAAATTAACTTTAATGTTAATTTAATCAATTATTTTCATCTTTTTCTTTAATTTATTTATTATTAAAAATTGTTTCTATTCATTTTATTAAATTAATTTTGTTTCTTTACTTAAAGAAAATATTTTGTAATTAATATTTTTAATTTACTTTTATTTTGTTTCTTTTCCCTTTTTTATTTTTTCTTTAAACTTCTTTTATTTTAAATTTAATTTTCTTTAGTATTAATTACTTCTTTTTCTTAGTACATTATTAAAAGAATATTTGAACATTCATTATAATCTTCGTTTATATAAAATACTCATATTCTTAATGAATTTACTTATTTTATAACACAAATACTTTTATTTTCTTGTTTAAATAATATTTATTATATTAATTGAAATTTAGTTATTTTGTTGTTGTATTAGTTTTTGTTATCAGTTAAATTACGTTAAAATTCAAAAGTAACATTGTTTGAAATGATGTTTTGATTATAACTGTCAAGTCGTATTGAACTATAAACGTATTTCTTATTTCATAGTAATTTGACTAGCTAAAATCAATCAAATATCATTTTTTTTTCATAGTCAATTATTAAATGAAAATGTTATTAATACCTTTGGTTGTAACCAATTTATCTGATAATCATAAGCTTTATTAAAGAAGGTGTTGTGGTTGTTTTTCAGACTAAATAAAGCGTCAATAAAAAGGAATAAATTCTCTTTACTAAAGAAAAGAAGAATTTTCAGAAGTGTCTATAGAAAGTTTCATATTAAACATCTTTATTAGCACTTATTATGAAGATCTGTTGTAAGGTAAATTTAATTGTTATTCTTTTTTGGAGGAGTTTCATATTAAGGAGTAAGTAAATGAAAAGAGAAAGTCTCAATTTAAATAATAGTTATTTTTGTATTTTTGCAATTACCCATTCTTCTTCCATTCAACACCATTGAAAGATAAGAGAGTTACAAAATATATAGATGTGTGTTACTATCTTAAAAAATCATTACAGTCAATTGTTACGTTGGTAAAGTTCAAAAAACTCTTCTTAAAAAAATAGAAGATTAGTTTTATCTTAAATTCATACATTAACATATAGAATATTGTATAGTGTCAATTACATTATTTACATGCATTTTCAGGTTATGTAAAGCTTTTTAAATTTGACAAATACTTAATGAGTTTAATTTTATTTGTAAAATAGATAAAGTCATTTAAAATATTATTTTAACATTTTTTAAGAAGTTTATTTGAGTTAAAATAAGAAGAATCAAAAAAGTGTGATTTAAATTACAATTCCATTTAATTTATCTACGATTTGTTTAAATGAAGGACGGTTTTGAGGGATTGGATCCCAACATTGAGAGATTATTTCATTTAAAAATTTGAATGAATTACCAAGTGGGAGTCTCCATCCATTTTTAACTTTTTCTCTAATATCACTGAAGTATTTGAAGCTTTTGTAAGGTGGTTGTTTATTTTTTAATTCCCATAGAATTATTGCATAAGAAAATACATCACTTTTTTGTGTGAAAGGTTCTCCATTAATTACTTCAGGTGCAAGCCAATAAGGGCATTCAACAACCGCATTTATATTAGCTGAGACAGGAACAGTCTGACCAAAATCACTTAATGCACAATTTTTAAATGATCCATCTTCATTTAATCTGATGAGAATATTTGGAGACTTCAGGTCTCTGTGAATTAATGGCATTTTATAAGAATGAATTTCATTCATTCCAAAAGCTATTTGTTTAGCTATATCTAATACTAATGTGTTAGTAAATTCCATTGAAGTTTCATTAATTAAATGATATAAACTTCCACCATTAAAATATTCCATAGTAACGAATAATGGATTAATACAATAACCATAGATTTGAGCTATATAATCACTTTTAGGGAATGTAATAAAGAAAATTTCTCTTAAATATTCTTCAACTAAATTTGCAAATATATTAATTGATGTATTAGAATCATCAAGTCCATTATCACTTAAATCAATTTTACCAATCTTTGCAACAATTAATTCTTGTGTTTTTCTTTGTTTAAATAATGAAATAATTGAATTAGAACCAACACCAACATCTTTAATTAAATCATATTCGTTTAATGATTTAAGATATTTTTTTGGTAATGTTTCAATAATCATATCAAGAGAACAACTTACAGTATTAATTGTATGAATACAAACTCTACTTTTAACATGAAATTTAAATTTTTCAATAGACTCATTAATTTCTCTTTCAGTTAAACAATTAATATTTCCATTCATTAAACATTCAGGACACATTATTTGTTGTTTTTCTATTTTACATTCATAACAATCTAATATATTTTCTAATAAAATTCTATTACTTTTTATTACTTTTGCAATATAAAATGGTATTCTTTCATTAGAAACAAGAAATCTTATTCTTATATTAACTGACCTTTTACTTTCATCAACAGAAACCATTAAATATCCTTTTCCACTTCCATCAGTATCTTCAATAACAACAATGGCACCATTTCTCCAATAACAATGAACTTCATATTTAATCATAAAACTACAAAGAATAGTATTAATGATTTTATCATTATATTTACTCAAAATAAAACTTCTTCCTATTTCATTTTCATTTTTATGATGTTGTAATGGCCATGAACTATTTTCATAACTATGAACTAATTCATGATATGGATATATCAATAACCCTTCAATATCTCTTAATTCTGTTACTAAAAATGGTACAAATGAACTTCCATTTGATGAGTTTTCTTTATTCATTAATTCACTAGAAATATACTTTGTTTGATCAACACAACTATTATAAGCTTTATTAAATTCATTACTAATACCAATATTAGCAAATGTTTGAGCAGTACATTGAAGAATAATTCCATACATTTCTAATATTGAAATAATAAATTCTAAGTGTTGATCTTTTATTCCTAATACCTCAAATACACTTGTTGTAATAAATCCATTTCTACTACTTCCTTTCTTCAATAATTTATCTGTTAAATTAAATAATTCACAATCAACAACAACTTCTTTTTCATCTTTTAATAATTCTTCAATATTATAATGAATTAAATCTTCATTAGTAAGAAAATATCCATTTTTAATAAGAAATTCTAATACCATATCAATTTGACTTAATTCTAAACAACACATAACTTCTTTAATTTTCCCAATCGTTAAACAAAATCCTGGTATTGTTAATCCTTCTAATTCTTTAACTAATTTTCCACTTTCTTCTTCAATTGTTTCATTAATTTCATTAAATTTTATAATTTGTTTCATAATTTTATTAACTAAAGTTGGACATTTTTTTGATTTCTTTTCTATAGTATAGAAATGTAAATCAAGTGTAAATATTTCTTTATTATATTTACTTAATACTTTAGCATTCATTTCAGTTCCAAAGACTACATGTCCAGTAATAGGTTTCTTTAAACTACTTAAAATCTCAAATATCTCATCAATTTCATTTCCATTTTTTTCGTTTTTGCAAATCACAAATACAGACCGATGTAATTTCCAAATTCTTTCTTTCATTTGATTAACTGACATACAGACAACAGAAATTCTATCAATTTTATTTTTCTTTTTCTTTTGTTCTTTTGACTCAAAAATAAATGAACAGTCATTAATTGTTTGAACTGTTCCTTCTTTCCCCATTTTTCTTTGGAGATAGGAAAAAACTTCTTTTCTAAATTCATCGCCTGTAATAATAATTTTTTCTAATTGTTGAATCTGAGTTTCTTCATACACTCCATTAATATCTTTTCCTGTCCAAATAGTATTTGGACTAAGAATTGACTTTCTATACTTTTTTGTTTTTACATTATTACAAATAACTGTAAGTGACTTCATTGTTTTAAATAATGCATTTTTACCATTAGTATGATTTTGAGATAAATTCAAAACCCGTAGGTTAGTCATCGTAAAGAATGAATAATTCATTTTATTAATTGAATTATCAGAAACATCAAGTTTTGTGATTGACAATTGAGTAATTTCTTCTGGAATAATAGGAAGATGACACCCACTAATAATAAGTTCTTGTAAATTAATTGGTGGTCTTGAGATAATATCTGAGATATCAAAATGACATTTAGAACAATCTAATGAAGTTAAACACGGAAGATCTCTTAAAACAGCTGGATAATTATTCAACTCAGCTGCTTTTAAAAGTTCAAGATCATTTCCAACTTCAAAATTAAATTCTTTGGGAAAACAATTTGATGAAATATCTAACTTTCTAAGAGGAATATTAGAAAGGTCTGGTAATTGAGTTAGTTTATTGTTAGCTAGTCCCAAAAAAGTTAAATTAGATAATTCAGAAATAAGAGGTGTTATCCAAAATAATGAGTTATCATTAAGTCTAATCTCTTTTAGATGAGATAATTGACATAATGCTAAAGGAAATTCTTTTAAACGATTATTGTTAAGATTAATAATTGAGATTGTTGAGAGTATATTTAAAGAGAGTGGAATTGGTGGAAAATCAACTAAATTCATATTTGTATTTTTTGTTGTCATTGTTTTAGTTGTGTATAAACATACTGCTTCTTTATTAAAATTCATCCATTCATCAAAGAGAATACAACATGGACATTCAGGAATAACTAAATACATAGAAAGTTCATTTGGTTTATAAGAAATATTAAAGAAATAAGACTTATAAACTAAGATATATCGAATAATAGAATTTCTAGAATCAATTATTTTTTCATTAAATTCAGAGAATCTATTAGATAAATATGAACAAAATAAGAATCGTATTAAATGATCATCAAATTCAAATGAAAGTGAATTTTCATGAATAATAATATCTAATGAACAAAGTAATAAAATAAAATAAATCGAATTATCATATGAATTTTTTTCAAAAAAATTCACTGAAAGTAATTCTTTTTGAAATAGAAATAGAAATCCATCAATTGTTCTATAATATGGATCAATAACAATTTCAATTAATATAGAAAATAATGATATTATTCTTTCATTTATATTATATGGTTGTAATAATAAAATAGAATTACTTCTTTGCATTTCTTTAACAACATTCTTAACAACAATTAAAGTATCTTTAATAAATCCAGAAAATTCAATAGTAGCATCATTATATATTGAAATATTTTTATTTAAATCAAAATTAACATTTGGTACAATATCTTGAATTTTCTTAAAACATTTCTCAATAACATTTTTTGGTTTTAATTCACATTTTATTGGAAGAATAGTAATACCAGATTCATATAATGTAAAAGTAGTTGTATTTATACTTTCATTTGTATCATTTATTCCAATTGGAAATCTTAATAATTTAGAATTAAATTCATTTTGATAAATAATAATTGGTTTAAGTCCACTAATAGACTTAATTTCACAATTAAAAGTAGGAAATTTAGGAATATAATTTACATCAAATTCAACACTTTCTTTTATTCCAAGTCTTTGACAATCAAAAGAAATAATTTTATTAGTTGAACAAATTTGATAAAGATTTAAAGGAATAAAATCAGTTTCATTAATACATTGATAATTTGTTTTTAAGTCATTAATAATCATTTCATAATTATCAGTTTCACCATTTAATTTAAATGTTATTATTTTCAAATCCTTACGATATAAACGTAAATAATGACATGATTCTTTTTTAATAATTTGTATTGAATTAATATTAAATAAAAAAGTAGTTCCTAATTGTTTAACAATAAAAAATTTTGATACATCAATTTCTTCTTTACTTATAAAAACAATTCTTTGTGTAGTAATAAATAAATTTCCATTTATTACATTTGTATTATCAAATCCTACATCATTAGGAATAATATAAGGTGCAAATAAAACATTACAATATTTTTTTATAATAAATTCTCCATCAAATTGATAAACATCATTAATTTCTTTTGAATAAATTTCATTAGAGCATATTTGTTCTATTATATCAATATATTCTTTTCTAAAGAAATTATTTTGTAACATTGCATTAAAATAACAAAGATACATTGATTCTTTTTCTTCTTTAATTATATTATGTTTTTGACAAACAAATTTAATAAATAAAATAATTTCTTTTATTATTTCAAGTCTACATTCATTTTCTCCATTTAAATGTTCTAAAATTGATGTTTTAATTTCTTCAATAAATAATAATGCCATTTTATCTTTATTTATTTTATCTTTCATCATTAATATCATATCTAATTTATTTAATACATTACTACTAAGTAATGGTACTGGTAAATTTAATAAATAATTCTTTAATAATAAAAATCCCATTTTTACATCAACCTCTTTATATAAATTAGGTTTTGTTTCATTATTATAACGTCGTACTAAATGATTTAATGTAACATATTCTTCATTAGTAATTCCATTATTTAAATTCATGTTATCTATTATTTAATTTTTGTTTTTTTTTTTTATTTTTTATTTGAATTTAATAACAAACAAAAGAAATGACATCGATCTTCACTTTGAGCTTTTTGTTTTAATAAATAACTATCATTCATTGTAAACCCTTTCTTTAGTAAATCTTCAATACTCATTTTATCTATTTGACTTATCATTAATTGACTATTTTCTTTTACTACAATACGTGACGCTTCAAATCTAAGTTTAAAATAACTTATTGGTTTATCTTCAAAATATTTATTTTCAAATAATAATGAATGATATAAAAATAGAAGTATTTCATGTACAACACATGGTAATTCGTTAAAGGTTCTATCTTTTAAACCAAGTTTATTTAACCCAATTTGAAATAAACCCTTTTTCTTTTTATATTTATGTGGATCATTTTGACGTGGTGAAAGTAACGATGTAAAGTCATTTGGTGATTGTTCTCTATGTTGAGACCCATATATAATAAATGATTGTGATGGTGGTCGTTTTATTGAGTCAATTTCTTCACTTGAAATTGATGGTGACCCACCTCCAAGTTTTGCAATTGGATTATAACTCTACTTTATTATTATCTCACACTTTATTTAACAATAACTTTCACAAACTTTCCTTCGTAGTTTTGTTTCAAATCCCTAACTTCAATTAATTCTTTTCTTTTTTTTATGTTTTTATTCGTTAAATCCTCATTAAACAAACCGAATTTAAGGATAAAACAACTCCAGTATGAGATGACATTGTTTCTTTTTTAGTTTTGTCAATCCCTTTTTTCCATGCTACCCTTATTTTTCGTGAAACGTTTGGAAGAATAAACAATTTGAGAATCTAGAAGTTGTATTTTATCAAAAAAAAAAATATTATGTTTTACATAACATTTAATTATTCATAATTAATAAAATCAATTAATTAAGTATTAATAGAAATAGTTTCTATTCTTCCTGGCTTAGGGGAGACTAATCCCGTCCCTTCGTCTTCTTCTTCTAGTAGCTCTACTGAGTATGTTTGATTGTGATCTCCGCAGTATTCCATGACATCCTTCATGTTTTTTATTACAAGGTTTTTAATTTCTTTTTCGATGTCAATGTCAATTTTTATTTCTTTAATTATTCTGATACTTTCTTTATTTACTAATCCATTTATTGAGATTACTACTGGATTTATTCTGACATCTTTTAATTTTTCTATTTTCATTAGAATATTCTTTAATTCCTTATACATATTTCTTTTCTTCAAATACACTCCATTAATATTGTGATCAGCCACAATAGTCATATCAAATAATAGACCAGTTTTGTTCTTTTTATCTACTACGTATATGTCTGGTCTTTTGTGATATTGTCAATCATTTTTAGGCATTATTTGTTTGTTCCATATCATTGTGATGTCTTTATATTGGAACATTGTTTCATATGGGGGGTTTTTTATATTGTTTATTTCATGTACATTTTCTTATTAATCCCTCCCATATTATAATGCCTATATTGTCATGTTTTTCCATTTGTGATTTTTTATGACCAATGCAAGATAGTAGAATGTGCTCTATTGTGGCTATCTTGTCTTTACAAAGTGGGCAGTATTTCAATCTTTCATTTTTCATTATTTTTGCTTTCCTATACCCACAAAATATTGCACCATCTTGCATTTTAGTTAATTGGAGAAATGAATTTTTCTTAATATTGAATGACTTCCATGCTTTCACTGTAGTAGTTTTATCTACTCCTTTTGACTCATTCCATCTTCTAAAATATCCACTAATTTGATGACACTTCAATTTTTTGATGTATTTGTCAATAATTTTTTTATTTCCACTACTACTTCTTTTTCTTTTTTATTTTCAATCCCTTCATTTATTATTTCTTCTATTTTTGTTTCATTTATTTTATGAATTATTGTTTTTTAATTCTATTCCATATTCCTTTCTTACTGTACCATCTATCTAATATGTTATTTCCTATTTCACATTCTCTGGTACAGTAGTACATCACTGTTCTTACTAATTCAATAACATATTCGTCACTTATATTTATTAATCCTTCATTTCTTCTAGAGTGACATACAACCGATCTTTGGAGTTTCACCAATGTATTTTGCCTTTCTTAAATATTTTCTTATCTCCAAATCCATTTTATCTAAGTGATTTTCCAATTTACAACTGATGCTGAATATCTGAAGATATTGAATACTTCTATGTTTATTCTAGTAATATATCTTCTATTACTACTTTCATCACTGTTTATTTCTTCCATCTTCTGATTCATTTTTTCTTTGATGGTTTTACAATTGAAGGTATCATCAATTTCGTCAGACTGCCATATTCCTAAGTATTTATACAAGTTCTCACCTTCAATTAGGGGGATGTTTTGTATTCCATTTGGTATTTCTTTAATGTTTTTTAATACCATTCATGACTTTTTCTCATTCATTTCCATCCCTATTCCACTTATTATTTCTTTAATTTCATTGTGGATTATTCCCATTTCTTCATTACTTTCTGTCATTATTCTCAAATCATCCATATATAATGTGTGATTTGCTTTTGGGAATTTCTCTTCGATGATTTGAGAAATTACATTCATCTGAATGATGAAGAGTAGAGGGGATAATGAATCACCTTGTAAAATTCCTCTATTTAATTTAATACATCCTAGATATTCATTAAATTTATAGCCGATGAATATCTTCAATCTAGTCATTATACTTTCAATCATGTTTATGATGACACACTCATAATTAAAATATTTTAATGATTCAATTACCCATTCGTGGTTTACTGTGTCATATAATTTCTTAATGTCATAATATGACTCCACATATTTTGGGTATTTTTCTTCTTTCTGCTGCTTCATCATATAACTATTAATTATTCCTTCTTTAGCAGCTAAAGATTGCAACTTACATCCCAATTGGTTATTACTAATTTTAAATGATTCACTATTCATGTTAAGTCTTCTGTGAATCTTTTCTTTTAATATGGAGGTAAATACTTTCATAATTACATTTGTACAACTGATATGACAATAATTAGTGACATCATTCCTATCACCTCCTTTGTGGATTAATAAAGTTCTTCCACTTACCATGTCTAATGGGATGTTTTCAGGTTCAACCATTCATTGAAGATATTGAGAATGATTTCTCTTGATGATGACATTCTTTTCCAATAATACCCATATATAGTGTCTATTCCTGGTGCTTTCCAGTTATTTATTCTCATTATACTTAAATTTAATTCATTTATTGTTATTATGACACTATCATAATTTCTATATCTTTCATTCCACGAGGTGATTTGTTTTATTTTCCAATTCTCTTTATTTAATATCACATGTGTTTCATTTAACATTTCCAATATTCTAAAGTAATATCGTTATTTTTGTATATTTCTTTTTTTGGGTCTTTCTTCCTTATTCTAATTTTCTTGTTAGAATCAAACATTATTTTATTTGTATTGATTCTGATTATTTCATTTTTATTAAATTTAATTCTTTCTTTTATCATTGTCATCATATATTTTAGGTACTTTATTCTTTCTAGTGTTTTAACTTTAATTCCTTCTTCATCATATTCTTTTAATTTCATGATGCACTTTATTCTGTACCATTTTCTTCCCTTGACCAAATCTTCTAGTCTATTGATTTTCTTTAGGATTTCTTTTATTTCATCATTTTTATCTCTTATTATTTTATTTTGGAGATAAAGATGAATAATCATTGAAATCCTCTTCATATCATCTTGCAGATAATCCATTCTGCTTCCTGACCATATCCATCTATTATTAATTTCCATTATTAATTGGTCAGTTTCTTTTCTTTGAAAGTAGTAATTAATGTTTGAACATTTTTCAATTTTCATTTCTTTTATTTTATTGATGAGAGTGTTAAGGTATTCTTCATCAATTTCTGTAGAGTTATTCTTTAATATGATGTTTTTTATTATTGAATTACACTCTACTCTTCCTTCTATTATATCTTTTACTTTCACTTTAATGTACAGTTTAGTGCTTTCTTTTATTTTATGTGATATTTTAATATATTTAATATATTCTTTTTCATTATTGACATTGATGTTTATTACTTTTATTATACTTTCAATTTGTTCCCATCTTAATTTCTTATATAATTTCTTATTCAACCAATTAATTGCAAAACAATACAACACTTCAATTAAAATTCTATTTCTTTCTTTTGTTGTATTTATTGTCTGATTATCATCTCTTGTTTTTTGACAATCAGTGCTTTCCTCTTCGATTTCCACTACTGTTTTTTTCATAGGAGTAGTTTCGTTCATCTCCATTGTTCCTGATGATGCTTTCCTCAGTACTGGTTGTGTATTTATCACAAGTGTCATCGTTTTCTTCTTCTCTATTTCCTTCTGTGAAATAAAATTTTCAATATCATCTTGTTGTTTTGATATTATTTGTTTTTGTGCTTCATTTTCTTTTTGTGTGTTGTCTAATTCTTCTCTTGTTATTTCTGCAATTTCTTGGTTTTTAATTGCAATTTCTTGATATTCAGAGATTTGTTTTTCTTTATCTCTTATTTCTTTCTTTAATTCTTTAGTATTTTCCTCTATCATTTCAATTTTCTTCTCTAGTGTGTTTGCATTTTGTTCTAGAGTTTTGTTTCTCTTTTTCAACTTTTCAATTTCTTCTTTCATTTCTTCATTTTCTTTTTCCATCTTCTTTTTATTAGCTTGGATGCTTCGGATTTTTTCTTCTTTATTATTTACTTCTGTGATTTTCTTTCCTTCTATCTCATTTATTTTTCCTTGTAGTTTTAAGTTTTCTTCTTCTAATTTTTCATTTTCTTTCTTCATTTCTTCATAATTCGTTTGAATCTTTTTATTTTGTGTTTTCATTTCTGTAATTTCTTCTTCAAATTCTTTTTTAACTATTTCTTTTGCTTTTCTCATCATTTCTTCTGAGATGGCTTGTTCTTCTTCCATTCTTTTCATACTATATTCTTTAACTTTTTCTTTTAATTCAGTAATTTGATTTTTCAATAAAAGTATTTCTTCTTTTTCTTTTTCTTCTTCTATCTTTTCTTCTTTATTTTTTGTTTCTTCTTGTATTTTCTTTATACTTTCTGTTTCATTTATTATTCTTGTAATTTTACATCTATCATTCATTTCTTTGATTGGATTTTGTTTTTAATTTCTGCCTCTATAGCCTTAATGTCTTTTTCCTCCCATCCTTTTGTTTTTTCTTTAAACTCTTCTTTCGTCTTTTCAATTATCTTTTTCTTTTTGATTGAATATACTTCTTGAAGGATATCATACCATCTTTTCTTCTTACCTTCATATTTTTTAAGTATTTCTTCGTATTCTCCTTCTTTCCATTCACTTGTTATTTTTTTTATTCTTTCTTGTATCTCATTTATTGTTAGCCATTTGTATTTGTTATTTGTGTAATCTTTATTATTATTGTATTTACCTTGTTTTTATTTGGTTTTCTTTGTGTCTTTCGTCTTCTAATCAAATTTCATTGGTGTATCGTTTACCTTTATTATTATAATTGTTATGCCATTTATTGCTATTGACATTCATTTTTTTTATTGTATGACCTTGGATTTCTATGTCTTGTTTGCTTTTCTTTACAAGACCCTAAGGTTTTACACAATAGCCATGGCATTAAAATTTGTTGTATTTCCTGCATTGGAAAAGGATCTATTTTAATTATTCATAATTAAATAAATAAAAATGAAATTAAAAATGAATAAATTAAATATTAATAGAATTAA